ATAAATTCGGGAGCAGCCCCAGCCCTGGGGTGCTGCTGGTGGTCCCCAAACTCAGATCCAGCCGAGAATTCCCTAAAAAAAAAAATCTCATCCGTGAGGAAGGAGCTCCTCGAGGAAAATTTGCTTTCCTCAGTATTCCCACAATTTCCATGGGGGGAAAACCATTAAGAAGGAGGATTAAAAATGCAAAGGCAAAACCATAAATGAATTAAGGCAGACTCTGAACCTCCTTGTTCATCTGTGGGGAGCGAAAAGGCGGCGGGTGGCGAAACAGGACCCCAGCTGCAATTCCCACTGGGATCATTTTCCCATTATTTATTGCGCTTTTCGTTGGGCAATCAAACTGAGACAGTAATTAAGAGATGATTGAAAAGCAGCTTTTTTTTTTTTTTTTTTTTTTTTTTTTTTTTAATCTCACATGAAGCAATTTCCTGTCTTTTTTGTAACTCGTGGGAAGCTCAGACTCACCCGAGCCGGGCAGGGACCCCCTTCCTTCATCCCACCGATCCCAATCCTAGTTCTTGCCCCGGAACCAGCTCTGGCAGCGGGAAAGGCAGCGCTCCACCATGCTGGAAGTGCAGGAGTTGAGGCGGAACGGGCTCCGTGGGGACATTTGGGATTTGCTGTCCTTGGCCTCTCCGGCGTCCTCAAGTCCCTGGGATTGGGACGCGCAGGGATCCGTGGAAATCTCACTTTGGGATGCACAGGGATCCGCGGAAATCCCGCTTTGGGACGCACAGGGATCCCCCAGGATTGTTCCCTGGGCCTGGCAGGGCTCGTCCGCGCCCAAATCCAGCACCTCGAGCGTGCAGGGCTCCACGACCGGGAGCTCCTGGCGGAGATTTTCCAGGTTGTCCAGGCAGGTCCCGGCGGTTTTGGGGACTCCGAGCTCCTCCTGGGGCAGCGGGAAGGTCCCGGCGGTGTCAGGGGGACACAGCTCCACGGTCAGGATGGATTTCTGCAGTGGGAACCTCATCACGCACATCCCGGGGGTCTCGAAGGTGAAGGGCGCCTCTGCCGAGCTCGGGATTTTCGCGGGATCCGCGCAGGGCCCGGAGTCCGCGGGGAGGGATGGGGAGGTGACCCCGGGGGGGACCTGGGGGGCGTCACAGGGACAGGAGGGACAAATGTCCTGGCACGGGCAGGGATCCACCTGGGAATTCTGCTCCGGGGCCACCACGGCGCAGGGATTGCTCTGGGCAGCCTCTTCCGGGCAGGAACACGGCGGGCACTGGGAATTCATCTCCCTGCGACGGAGAGCTGCAAGAGAAAGGAACAATTTCACACCCAATCCCACGAAAAATCAGGGGAAAATTCTTCATTTTTTCTGCTTTTCTCTCCAAACTCCCAAAATCAGCTTTTCTCATTAAAACCTGCTCTCAGCCATACAATTCCAACAATTTGCCAGCTTTCTTTTTGGGATAACAAAGTATTTGATTCACGTTTTCAGGTTCATAAATTTCAAGTGACTCCCTTCCCTTCTCCAGTTGTTTTTCCCTTTTCCAGTTGTTTGGAATGGATCCTGGATGACCTGGCAGGATGGGGTTTAATCCCACTAAACCCAGTGCTGGAATAACAGGAATTTTCCAGAACATCCCTGGGAATTCCGGAATTACAGCCAAGCCAGCGCGGGGAAAGGATTTAACCCTCTGAAACCTTTATCCCCGAGGAAACTGAGCACCTTAAATCCCCATTTTTCAGCTTTCCAGGGAATCTATTCTGGAAAACCACCACCAGGATCAGCAGGATCCCAAGGAGACTCACCGGGTCGGGATCAGCAGGGCAGAGGCGGCCGCGTTATCCCGGGATGTTCCTGGTGTGTTCCCGGGCCTCCGGAGCCGCGGAGCCCCAGGCACCCGGAGCTCCTCACGGCCTCGCTCCGCCTCTGCCCCGCCAGGGATGATTTGCCTAATTATTTTTAATGGAAAACGCCTATTTCCGTGGCTGGAGCCGGACCTGGAGCTCGGGAATTCACGTGGCCCCGCAGACGCCAGGGAGGAATTTGGGAAATGAATGGATTCCCGGCCGGCTCTCCAATAATCACCCAGTGACGGGGCAAGTTTTTGGGATGCTCCAACGTCCTCCAGCCCAACACCTCGTGAGGTCCATTAGGGGCAGGATGGGATGTGGGATTTGGGGGATTCTTTTATTTTTAGCCATGTCTGACCTTTTTCTGTCCTGTTTTTCCACGGAGCTGCTGGGAACTCTTTGCTCACCGCTCGTCTCGTGATGTTTTCCGTCTGCTCCTGAAGTTCTGACTCAAATTCCATCTCCCTTGTCGTGACGGTGGCGTTGTCGTCATGCGGGACGAGCAGACAGGTGACTGGAGGAGTGACCACCACCCTTTTCCCTTCATTTTACCCCAAACCTGCTGAATTCCACCCAGCTGGAAATCCATAAACCCAAAAACGTGAATAAAATCTGTTCCCTTCCCCCCCAAAAAAATTTTGGAAAATCATTGAAATTGTTCAGCTGAGAACAGATTTGAGCAAGAAATGCTCCTTTTGGGGAGTTCGAACAAAAAACCAAAAAAAGGAGGAAATTCTTCCTGCAGTCAGCAGCAAACTCCCAATCCAAGGGGTCATTAATCCCAGATTTATTTATTTCCAGGAAATAACAAAAAAAAAAAACCCAAAACCCACACTGGACACCCAAATTAGGAGGGAGAAGAGGCAAAACCCTCCTTGGTCTCCTGGTGGAAAACGGCCTCGCCTCTGGTGCGAGTCACTCCTGTCCCTGGTTGTGTCACCGGGTGACTCTGGGAGGAATTCCAGAGCCTTTGATGTCTCAGGGGAACTGGTTGGGTCTCTCTTCCTCCTTTTCCAGGCAGGGACGACTTTTCCGCGGGGAGAAAGCGGCAGCTCCGAGCTGTGATGGCTGCGTGAAGTTTGTCACCTTTTTGGGCTGGGTGTGACCTCCTGGCACCAAAAACGGGCACAAAAATCGGCCCAAAGGCCACTGAGATCAGAGAGTTCATCCCTCATCGCCCTGGGTGTCACCTGGTGGAGCTGGGACACACGGGAGAGGTCCTGGAAGATCCTGGAGATCCTGGAAATGTGAAGATTTCCCTGGAGGCCAAGGGCCAAAATTCCAACAAATCAATCAAATTTGTATTAAAAAGAAAATCAAAGAATTGTGGCAAAAATGACCACTGGGACCAGGGCAGGGATTGTCCCCTGGGGTGGGCACTGGGGAGGGGAATGTCCAGTGCTGTGTCCAGTTCTGGACAATCATGGAAAGAGGGATGGGAACGGGGCTGGAAAATCCTGAGGGAGCTGAGGGAGCTCAGCCTGGAGAAAAGGGGGATCCAGGGGGAATTTGGGATCTGCCAGGGGGGATTTGGGGTCTGATCCCAGGGAATGGGGACAAGACAAGAAGGAACGGCCTCGAGCTGTGCCAGGGGAGGCTCAGGGTGGGAAATTTGGGGAAATTCCTCCTGGAAAAGGGAAAAGGCCTTGGAAGGGGCTCAAGGAGGGCTGGATCCCCACCCCTGGAGGTGTCCGGGGAATTCCTGGACCACATCTGGAGCTGTGTCTAGTTTGGCTCCCACAGCTCAAGACCAACCAAGGCCACCCAGATGTTCCAGGGACCTCGAGGAAAAGGTGGATTGGGAGACGCTGAAGGATTTGCCCACCCTAGAAAGGACTTGGGGATAATCCTGGGGTCTCTTTGAGCCATCCAAAATATTCGTGGAGAGGCTCTTCCAACTGAGGGATAGAGGGAAAACTGTCCAGTATATCAGAAATAAAATTCCCAGCAGAAGGAATATTGTGAGAGAGCCAAGGCCCTTCCAGAGTCCCATCCCACCTCCATTCCACAAATGCACCAAAACAGCTTTTTTTTTCAGAGTTCAGTCCTGAGGGGGATTGTTTCCAGGCTGCCTCATCCGCATTTCCCAGTCCGTAGGAAATACGTGGATGGGGAATTCCTCGCAGTCATGAGAGTCTCACGTCCCACCTCGGCGACATTAAAAATTATAACGTCGAGCGAAGTAATTGAAGGATTGGAGCAGAGCAGGTCTGGATTATTAAATATTTGATTTCCATACCCCTGAGGTGTCTCACTTCCGGAGCCACGGACACCAAAATCCTATAAAAGGATTCCTATTGTCCTGTTCCTCAAGCCATTTTTGGTTTCATTTGGTGCTCGCTGGTGGAGAATTGGGTAAGTCCAGCTAGGTTTCCTGGGAAGTCGCCTCGTGGTTGGGGCTTTTTTTTTTTTTTTTCATTTTGGAGCCGTGCAGAAGCAAATTAAAAGACTTAAAAGTGTTTCTGCTTGGGGATATTGGGGTTGGGATTCCTGCAGATTTTAATTCCATCTTCTCCGGGGTTTATTTGCTGCGGGTTTTGCTCTTTCTCCATCGAGGAGGACCAAGTTCTCTCTCTCTCCTCACCGACTTTGCTGCCGTGCTTCACCCAGGGAATTGTTGGCGTTGGGAGAGATCAAAAGGCCAGGCTGGGACTTCAAAGGGGAGGAGTGGGAGGGGTGATAAGGAGTGGAGACTCTCAGGCTGCCAGGGAAGGCCGTGCCTGGGAGGAAAAATTGGGGTGGGAAGAGCCAGGCAGATTTTGTGGGAAAAGCAGCAGCAGCAGAGCTTTTCCTTGGGGAGATTTTCCCACATGGAGCCGCCACTGGTGTCCTCTGGATGAGGGCAGGGCGATCTGAAGACTTTTTGGGTGAAATCGGGGAAGGAATGGGAAAGATTCATCCCGAACCAAGGGGAGGTGTGGGCAGGTGGAGGCTTCAGACCTCCCAGAAAACCTAAAGGAGCCGAAATAATTTTTGCTTCCTGTTTTGAGAGGAAGTTGCTTGAAAATAGCTACAAATTTGTCTAAAAGGCTTTCATGTGGAGTCACTTCCTCGCCTCATGGCAGTTTTCCAGTTCAGGATTTCGTGGAGAAAGGATGATTTAATTCTGTGTATAGAACAGCCTGGAACGTTTCACGCCTTTTACATTTTATCCCTTTCCTGCTTCCAGCCTCCCCCCCTTCCACCCAAAAATGCGTCGCGCGACCGGCTGCCCGCTGAGCCAGATCTGCATCCCCCCTCCCGCCGTCCTGGTGAGGAGCTTCCCGGTGAGGTCCAGCCCGGATCCCTGCGGCACCGCCGGCGGCTTCCAGTGCTTCCCTCCCCGCAGGAGCCCCTGCTGCTTCCCCGGCACCACCACCTACGTCAGCCTGGGGAGCCTGGCCGCGGCCCAGGCCGCCGGCTGCGCCAAGCCCTGCGGCCTCGTGGCCACCACGTGTGTCCCCCCGTGCTGCCAGGGCGTGGCCGGGTGCACCACCACGTGCAGGAACCCCTGCTGCTGCTGCCGGGTGACCGAGAGCTGCACCAGGAGCCAGGACTGCTGCCAGGAGGTGGCCAAGTGCTCCACAGCCACGTGCCAGGATCTGTGTTGCCAGGAGGTCACCAAGTGTGTCACCACGTGTCAGGATCCATGTTGCCAGGAGGTCACCAAGTGCACAACCACATGTCAGGATCCGTGTTGCCAGGAGGTCACCAAGTATGTCACCACATGTCAGGATCCATGTCGTCAGGAGGTCACCAAGTGTGTCACCACGTGCCAAGATCCCTGCTGCCAGGAGGTGTCCAAGTGCACCACAACATGCCAAGATCCGTGTTGCAAGGAAGTGACCAAGTGCACCACCACATGTGTGGATCCGTGTTGTAAGGAGGTCACCAAGTGTGTCACCACGTGCCAGGATCCCTGCTGCAAAGAGGTCACCACATGCACCACAACGTGCCAGGATCCGTGTTGTAAGGAGGTCACCAAGTGTGCCACCACGTGCCAGGATCCCTGCTGCAAAGAGGTCACCAAGTGCAGAACCAGGTGTGTGGACCCATGTTGTCAGGAGGTCTCCAAGTGCAGAACCAGATGTGTTGACCCGTGTTGTCAGGAGGTCACCAAGCGTGTCACCACGTGCCAGGATCCCTGCTGCAAAGAGGTCACCAAGTGCAGAACCACGTGTTTGGATCCATGCTGCCAGGAGGTCACCAAGTGTATCACCACGTGTCAGGATCCATGTTGTCAGGAGGTCACCAAGTGTGTCACCACATGTCAGGATCCCTGTTGTAAGGAGGTCACTACAGGAGGTCACCAAGCGTGTCACCACGTGCCAGGATCCCTGCTCAAGTGTATCACCACGTGTCAGGATCCATGTTGTCAGGAGGTCACCAAGTGTGTCACCACGTGCCAAGATCCCTGCTGCCAGGAGGTGTCCAAGTGCACCACAACATGCCAAGACCCGTGTTGCAAGGAAGTGACCACGTGTGCCACGTGTGTGGACCCGTGTTGTCAGGAGGTCTCCAAGTGTTTCACCAGGTGTGTGGACCCGTGTTGTCAGGAGGTCACCAGGTGTGTCACCACGTGTGTGGACCCGTGTGGCAAGAAAGCCCCCAGGGGCCTCACGCCGTGTTACGATCCCTGCTGCAAGAAGGTGACCAAGTGGAGCAGCCCGTGGGTGATTCCGTGGTGCAAGAAAGGCTCCAAGTCCAGCACCAGATGTGGAGATCCCTGTTCCAAGAAGGGGAGCAAGTGCAGCTCCAGATGTGTGGATCCGTGCTACAAGAAGGTGCCCAAGTACTCCACCCCGTGCCAAGATCCATGCTGTGTGACCAGGTGTGACCCCAGGTGTGTGGACCCGTGTTGTCAGGAGGTCACCAAGTGCAGAACCAGATGTGTGGATCCTTGCTGCCAGGAGGTCTCCAAGTGCAGAACCAGTTGTGTTGACCCGTGTTGTCAGGAGGTCACCAAGTGCAGAACCAGATGTGTGGATCCTTGCTGCCAGGAGGTCTCCAAGTGCAGAACCACATGCCAGGATCCCTGCGGCAAGGAGGTCACCAAGTGTGTCACCAGGTGTGTGGACCCGTGTTGTCAGGAGGTCTCCAAGTGCAGAACCAGTTGTGTTGACCCGTGTTGTCAGGAGGTCACCAAGCGTGTCACCACGTGCCAAGATCCCTGCTGCCAGGAGGTCTCCAAGTGCAGAACCACATGCCAGGATCCCTGCGGCAAGGAGGTCACCAAGTGCAGAACCAGATGTGTTGATCCATGCTGCCAAGAGGTCACCAAGTGCATCACAACCTGCCAAGATCCCTGTGGCAAGGAGGTCACCAAGTGCAGAACCAGGTGTGTGGATCCCTGTTGTCAGGAGGTCACCAAGTGTGTCACCACGTGCCAGGATCCCTGCTGTGTGACCAGAAGGTGTGTGGATCCCTGCTGTGTGACCAGATGTGCCACCAGGTGTGTGGATCCGTGTTGCCAGGAGGTCACCAAGTGCACCACCAGATGTGTTGATCCCTGCTGCCAGGGAGTGACCTCTTGTGCCACCAGGTGTGTGGATCTGTGTTGCCAGGGGGTGGCCAGGTGCGTCACCACCTGCCAAGATCCCTGTTGCGTCACCAGATGTGCCACCAGGTGTGTGGACCCCTGCTGCCAGGGAGTAACCACCTGCCAAGACCCCTGCTGCCAGGGAGTGACCACCTGCCAAAACCCCTGCTGCCAGGGAGTGACCACCTGCCAAAACTCCTGCTGCCAGGGAGTGACCACCTGCCAAAACTCCTGCTGCCAGGGAGTGACCACCTGCCAAAACCCCTGCTGCCAGGGAGTGACCACCTGCCAAAACCCCTGCTGCCAGGGAATGACCACCTGCCAAGATTCCTGCTGCCAGGGAGTGACCACCTGCCAAAACTCCTGTGGCCAGGGAGTGACCACCTGCCAAGACCCCTGTGGCCAGGGAGTGACCACCTGCCCCACCACGTGCCCAGCCCCGTGCTGTGTCCCCAGCTGTCCCCCTCCATGTGCGGATCCCTGCTGTGCCACCCCGCAGTGCCGCGGCGGTGTCCAGGTTGTCACCAGGTGTGCCGACTCCTGTCCCACCACCTGTGTCACCCAGACGTGCCCCGTGTGCGGCCAGCGCTGCTCCGTCTCGGGCTGCCCCAAATTCCGGGCTCGCTGAGGGGCTCTGGGGTGGGATCCAAAGGAGACCCCGCTCCCCGTGGGGGTTTCCCTGTGGAATCTCCAGAGGAAGAGTAAATCCTCATTTTCCTCGCGTTTTGCCCCGTTCCTGATGTTTTTCACCTCAAGAAAGCGCCGTTCCTCACGGGATGTCACCGAGCGATTTTGTGCCCCTGGGATCGTTCCCCGGGAGAAAGAATCCGCAGTTCCCCCTCGCACCGGGAGTGCGATGGAGGAATTCCCCTCTTTGTTCTTCCTGATCTTTTTCCTTTCCGTGTTCTGAAGCAATAAAAGAAACGATCTTGGCATCGGCCTCCCGCATTTCCTTCACTTCCTTTTAATTCCTTTCCTAAAATCCCGATTTTTTTTTTTTTTTTGTAATAAAAAATACGTGGGAAGGTCTCACTGGGATTGTGGAATGCCCTGAGATGGAAGAGGCACACAGAGATCATCAAATCCAACCCCTGGCCCCGCCCAGGATGTACCAAAATCCCACCGTGTCCCCGGGAGCGTTGTCCTGGAGCTCCGGTGGGTTTGGGATGGTGACCATTCCTTGGTGAGCCTGGTGAGCGCTCCCACACTCTGGTGGGAAGAACCTTTTCCCAAAATCCACCCCAGTTCCCACCCCCTGGCACATCTCCAGCCCTTCCCTCAGTCCTGACATCCCTGATATCCCAGATCAATGTGTGAAATCCCAAATCAGTGTCTGAAATCCCAAATCAGTGTCTGAAATCCCAGATCAATGAGTGAAATCCCAGATCAATGTGTGAAATCCCAGATCAATGTGTGAAATCCCAAATCAATGTGTGAAATCCCAGATCAATGTGTGATATCCCAGACCAACGTCTGAAATCCCCGCTCAGGTGGGATTTCCAGGCTTGAAAAACACCTGGAAACCCCAAAAAAGAGGAATTTCCCAAGCGCTCCTCCATCACTCCCATCGCTCGATCCCAAACCCCCAAACGGGGCTCGGGACCGTCCCGGGAGGCTCCCGAGGTTGAGCTCGGCTGGGAGCCGGGCCCGGGCAGGGTTTGGCGGAGCAAATCCCGCTCGGAATGCGGGCGGGCGGAGCGGGGGCGGCGGCAGACGGGGTGCGACCGTCTGGGAGCCGCCACCGGCTCCTCCGAAGATGCCCCAAGGCCCGGGGTTGGTGACAACCTGCGAGCTCTGCCCTCAGAGCTCCTCTGATCCCAGCGGGCTGGGGCACAAATCCTCCCCGTGGCGTTTCGTTGGGCTCCAAAACGCCCCCAAAATTCCTTAAAATTCTGTGCGAGCAACGATGTTCTTTGCTCCTGCTCCCCAATCCCTCGGTTTTCTGGGAAATAAAATGTAGTCGGGAGAAAAAAGTGGCTTTTGGATTAATTTTTCCCTTCTGGCGTGGTGCTTGCAGGGTCTGTAATCCTTCACGTGTCCATAAAATTCAGGTTTAAATCATCTCGGAGCAGCAGAAAGCAGAAAAATCATTTCCAGGAAAAAAAAAAAAAACCAAAAAAACCAAACAGGAATTCCTCCTGCGTGACCACCTGGATGTTTATTCCACACCTGTGAAATTAAAACAGGCAGAAAACTGCTGCTCACTACAAGGAAATGTTGTAGAATCCCCCAGTTCCTCTGTCAGGTGAGCTTTAAAATTTCCTTGGAGATCAAAGCACTTTTATCCAAAGTAAAAAAAAATCCAGAGGAAATCCAGGGATTTTTCCTGAAAACAAAAAAAGAGAAAATCAAAGCAAAGAAGGCAAAGAGATAAAAGAGGTGAGGATTTTTTTTTCCCCCATAACCACAACCAGTTCTTCCTTCCCAGATTTAATTACTCAGGTGCTAATTGTCATTCTTCTCTGAGCGCTCACCTTCCGGAGTAAACAGGAAAAGAGGCCGGAATGGTGGGATTTGGGTTCCTGTCATGGCTGGGTCCAAATTGTCCCTCAGGCATGGACTGAAGGAGCCACTCAGGTCCATGTGAGGCTTAATGTCCTCTCCTCTCATCCTCCTGGCATCCCAAAAATTCCAGGGTTCCCAGAGCCACCTGGACACTGCCCGGGGAGCTGGGTCAGACCCTCCCACCTTGCCCAGGTCCTTGTGGGAATGAGGAGAGGGGAAAGTTGGGTCTGATGGAGGCCCAGGAGGGTTAATTGCAACCAGGTGTGTTTAATTGTGCCCAGGTTTGGGCAGGAAAATGGGGAGAATTCCTGATTTCGGTGAGAGTCGATGGAAACGCACAGGAAAAAATTCCTTTTCTTGCTCGGGAAAATGGGAATCCTGCATGGGGATGGAGGGGTTGGACCTCGACTCCGTGTCCAGGTCTGGACAACCACGGAAAAAGGGACATGGAGGGGCTGGAGCCTGTCCAGGGGTGGGAATGGGGCTTGGGAAGGGCCTGGAAAATCCTGAAGGAGCTGGGGGTGCTCAGCCTGGAGAAAAGGGGGATCCAGGGGGAATTTTGTGCTCTTCCAGGCGGGATTTGGGATCTGATCTCCGGGAAGGGAACAGGACAAGAGAGAATGGACTTGAGCTGTGCCAGGAGAGGTTCAGAGTGGGAAATTTGGGAAAATTCCTCATGGAAAGGGTAGACAGGCCTTGGAAGGAGGTCAGGGAGGGTTGGAGTGGCCACCCCTGGAGGTGTCCAAGGAATTCCTGGAGATTCCTCAGGATGACCAAGGGGTGATCTGCCACAGCTTGGATTCGATGTTCTGGGAGATCTTTCCCAACCTCAGGGATTTTGGGACCCTGGAAAATCTTTGGCCCTTCAGCACAAGACCCTTGGAGCCAGGGGTGCTGCCCTTGTGGAATTCCCTCTTGGAATTCCCTCTGGAATGCCCGACCCGCTGCAGAGGAGTCACCGGAGGACATCGCTGTGGGGTCCTGACTCACCGACACCAGCGTGACAACTCCAATGACTCCAATTGCCCATAAACGTAATGGAGATTCCCAAATAAGTGCCAATTAGGGATAACGATCCAGCCCCGTGATGTTCCCACGTGTCGGAGTGCGGATCCCTTTACGTCTCTCGAAATAATCCACTTTTGGAAGGCCCCAGTTTCTCGCTAATCAAAGTTAACAACAGGGTGTAAAACAACTCGGGGTAGAAAGAGAGGTGCAGGACCGGTCCTCAGAGATGGTTTTGAGGTGAGCCTGGAGCCTGACGAGATAATGAGGAGCTGTTCCAACCGGAATAAGGGATATTCCTCGGGAAGATAAGAGTTGGAAGCTGCTCTGGGGGAAAATTTCCACACCCGGCAGCTCGAGGAGTAGAAAATGAGGAGGGATTAATCTGCATAAAAATTCAGCTCCCAAATCCGAGCTCTGCTGGGTGCAGCTTCTCCTCCCGTGACAAAGGAGGTGTTTAAGATGAGCAAACCACGCCGTGACAGTCCCAGTTTATCCCCGGAAAAGCCTCCGGGGCAGCGGAGCCTCCGGGGAAGGGGGAGAAGCTGCACGTGGGGAGCTGAGTCTGTGGAAAAGCTGAGCCACCCGTGAGGTGGCAAAAAGCCCCATGGAGATCCGTCAGCTCCGGGTGGAATTCCAGTACAAGCACTGGGAAGGAACCGGTGCTGATGCCTGGAATTCTCCGGGAGACTCTGGGTTTGGGGCATAAACAGGACGCGCTGCTCGTGCTGGGTTGGTTCATTTTGGGGTGGTTTTTATCCCTATTTAGAATTTTTGTGATGGTCACGTTCCCATCTCCGTGACTGGAATATCTGGAATAAACATGGATTTTCCATAATCAGCAAAACTTTAATAAAAATTGTGTCCTGGGCCTAAATCCCACTTAAACTGGAGCCTTTTGTACTTTTCTGTGAGAGAAAAACATCTTTAAAATGAGGATTATTCTGCCTTGAACAGATTGAAGTATTCCTCCAAAAACCTGGAGTTGTGTCCCCACTGGAACTTCCAAACATGGATGGTGTTAATTCATGGAGAGGAATGGGTTGAGTGAATGAAATAATTTAATTTATCAGGAAAACAGGGACCTCAAGGTTTTGTGGGAGCGCTGGAGGATTGGTTGTGCCTTTCCATGAGAATTAGGACAGGGTATTTCTCATAGTAAATCCAATTAATTATCCATCTTCCCTAATAACAGCCATTCCCATGTTGGAAAAACTCCAGGTATCAAAACCCAACATTTATGGAAATAAGGCCACGGAAACGTCCCAGCGCATTAAATCCCTTTCTGAAAACCAATTAATTCAGCACCTGCTGTTTTTTTTTTTTTTAATGACTCCGCCATTCCCGTTGGGAACCGCATGACCGGGATCGGAGCTCGGCTGGCTCAGCATCACCTGCTTTCCTGGAAGAGGGCTTCCACCAAAAATTAGGATGCAAACAAACATGCAAAGCATGTGGAGGTGGAGCCTGCCGGGGCAGTTTGTGGTCATCTGTCCATCCCCCTGGGCTCCCGCGTTTCCGGAGCTGACGCCACTCCGGCCATATAAAAGGTTTGGATTCGGAGGCTCCCGCCAGTTCCTTTGGCTTCTCCGTCGCTTGCCAGGACCGGTGACCCGGTAAGTCCTCCTCGGCTTTATCAGGGAATTTTTATCAGGATATCTCATGGAAAAGAGAGTTCACTCCTGGTCCCAGGAGAGCTTCGCTCCTGGGCTTCTCTTCTGGGATTTGTCCTGGAATTGGGAACTTTATTTAGGGTTTGCTCTGCCTGGAGGAGCTTGGAGAAGTCACCTGCTCCAGAACTGTGGCTGCTTCTCCTCCTCCCTCCTGTTCCATCCTGGTTAATTTGTTCCTGCCTCATTAAGGCTGGGAATTAAATAAATTAATGGATGCTGTGGAGCAGCTCCTGGGACTTCAAACGGGATGGGTGGGAAGAGGCTCTATCTGGAAGGAGGGAGCTGCAGGATTCCTGCAGGCAAAGCCAGGGGAGACCTCTGGGAGAAGCCAAGAGGAGGAAATGAGCTGGAAATGGGAGCTGCATCCTCTGGGCCAACCCTTCCCTCACGGAAGGATGGGCCCCATTAATGCCCCAAAAAAATTCCAGTGACGTCCCAGGATCTG